AGATATATTTATTTAAAAACATTCAGTGTCAATTATCACAAACAGGCAAGCCAAAAAAAACACACTATATCAACTCATTCCTGTTAGAATGACTCTCATTAAAAAGCAAGTGTTGGTTAAGATGTCAAGAAAAGAAATGCTTGCACACCACATTGTCTTGGGCTGTGTGTCCTGTAGGCTTAGTTCCTTTATTTCTGGTACTGGGTTGGGTCCTAGTTACACTGTGGTATGGTTTGATGCATTGTGTTGGAATCCAAAGTGGACCTGAGGAGGTGTGGACACCAGCATACCCTCTTCCCCATGTTAATAATTCATTTGGGCCATGCCATACATTACTGTTTACATCTTTTCATAAAACTGCAGGTTCTATGTCTTTAGAAGCTTAGCAAAGTGCTTTTCTACAGCTGATTGAAATTTGCCGCCGGGCGCGGTGGCTCAAGCCTGTAATCCCAGCACTTTGGGAGGCCGAGACGGGTGGATCCCAAGGTCAAGAGATCGAGACCATCCTGGTCAACATGGTGAAACCCCGTCTCTACTAAAAATGCAAAAAATTAGCTGGGCATGGTGGTGCATGCCTGTAATCCCAGCTTCTCAGGAGGCTGAGGCAGGAGAATTGCCTTAACCCAGGAAGCGGAGGTTGCGGTGAGCTGAGATCGTGCCATTGCACTCCAGCCTGGGTAACAAGAGTGAAACTCTGTCTCAAAAAAAAAAAAAAAAAAAGAAATTTGCCATCTAAATTTAAAAATTTTAGGGTAAATAAGGCTTATGCTAATAGTGTTGCAGGGTCCTTTACTCATATTCCTTTTTTTTTTCCTCTTTTTGTTTTTTCAGCTTATTTTTAAGAGTAGAATGAGCACCTTCTACTATCGCTTGTCACTGGGGGTTATATGGGATGCTTATAAAATGTTGCATACAAAATGATGCTTATAAAATGTGACAAAATTATTGAAATTGTGAGCTGGCACAAGCCAGACCACTATCAGTTTTATTTTTGTGGCCTGTCCCATAAATGCAAATGTTAAAAGATGTCTAATGACAGTAGACTCTCCAGGGATGGTGTGTGCACTAATTAAACGAGTGTTTGTGTTAATGGTACACATACATATCTTAGTTTTCCAAATGCAGGGATGTAACATCTGTTTGCGGTAACTGATAAGGTTCTAATCTTCTAGAGTTAACACCTGCTGAAGGCGGTTATGTGCCTCTGAGCTGGCAATCTGAGCATTGTAGGATACTTTGTTTATACAGTATCTGGGCAAGTTGAAATTGTTTAGATAAGTTTACCCAATTTTGATGGAAAATTGATGCAATTTCGTGGCTTGGTCAAGCAGTGATGTCACAATCTGAAGGTCTGCTTGATTACTGCCATAAACCAATGGGCCAGGAAGTGAGTTGTGGGCTCAACTGTCTGTAATAAAAATAGGATGTGTATGTTGACCTATAAATTGCTGAAGTTAAAGAAAAAGAACACAAAGGGTAAGCTCCCAAGTGGTCTCAAGGTTCTGCAGTAAATAAAAATAAGCTGAATCACTAACAATATTGAGGGGCTGAGTGTAAAAACTTTCCAAAGCCATTATTAGGGCCACAATCTCAGCTTTCTGAGTGCTAGTAAACCCAGATTAAGGGAAGGAATTATGTGATCTACAGCAAAGTGTTGCTTTTTCATGTTTATCCAAACCATCAGTAAACAATTGTAAATTAGGTATGGGGTAGTAAAATATTTTTGTGGGCAAGACCATAGGGGTATGAGATAATAAATGAAAGAGTTAATCAGCAGGAAAGACATTCTCTATTTGTCCTGTGTAATCAGAGTGCTATTTGCAAGTCCATTGATAAGGGCAATACTGCTTTGAATTTCTTTTTACTTAAAGGAATCCTGATATCAGGATCATAACCTTGCATCATCTGTGGCCTGAATGGATGACTTTACTAAGTAACTGGATATAGGGAGAAGTGTTTTAGTCCCAGTATGTGAGCAACAAACCCATTCTAGAAAGTGCAGTCTTAGGGTCATCTATCCTATTAACCCTGTAGGGGAGTGTTTGGTGAGAAAAATAAACAACTGAATAGTGTGGCTCAATGCAATCTAGTTGCCTTTGAGAGACAGTTTGTTCTATTTCCTCGATTCCCTTTTTGTTGTAGCAGTTAAATATTTGGGAGAATTCAGAGCTGTATTGCCCTTTAAGATAGCAAACAGGCCGGGCGCGGTGGCTCAAGCCTGTAATCCCAGCACTTTGGGAGGCTGAGGCGGGTGGATCACGAGGTCGAGAGATCGAGACCATCCTAGTCAACATGGTGAAACCCCGTCTCTACTAAAAGTGCAAAAAATTAGCTGGGCATGGTGGCACATGCCTGTAATCCCAGCTACTCAGGAGGCTGAGGCAGGAGAATTGCCTGAACCCGGGAGGCGGAGGTTGCGGTGAGCCCAGATTGCGCCATTGCACTCCAGCCTGGGTAACAAGGGCGAAACTCCATCTCAAAAAAAAAAAAAAAGATAGCAAACAGTGTTTGCAGCTTATAAATAAGAATGCCTAAAGTGGGCAGAGGGGGCCAGTTGACATTGCCTAGCAATTTGATAATCATTTCAGGTGTGTAAGTTGCTAGCATTTAATTTAACCTTTTGAGGCCTTACTGACTCGAAAGTTAGTATGTACCCAAGATATTTCCCAGGAGAGGACATTTGTACCTTTTCAGGAGCAATGATTAAACCTCTTAGCTGTGTATTCTTCATGACAGAGGTAAATAATTTAAAAGCATTGGCTCCATTAGGGCTGCTAGAGTATCAACCATGAAATAAATAACCTTGCAATCAGGAAACTCTACTGGGGAACAAAGCTTGATTTACATGATACTGACACGAGGCAGGGCGGTTTAGCAGTCTTTGAGAAAGTACTTTCCAATGAAATTAACAAGCTAGCCTTTCATTATTGATAGCTGGTATTGTAAATGCAAATTTTTCTCTGTCCTGGTCTGCTAGGGAAACTGTATGAAAACAGTCCTTTAAGTCAATAATGATTATAGGCCAATCTTGAGGAATCATCATGGGGGAAGGAAGCTCCTGCTGAAGGGGTCTTACAGGTTGCAAATCGGCATTGATAGCATGTAAGTCATTGCAAAAGTCTCCATTTCCCAGACTTTTGCAGAATGTCAAAAATGGGCGAATTCCAGTGACTATTAGATGGTTGTATATGCTCAGCTTTTAATTGCTCATCAACTAATTCATGGGCCTTCTGCAATTTCTATCCCTTCAGAGGCCACTGTTCTACTTAAATTGGATCAGAGGTAGGGGAGGAATAGTAACAGTGGTCTTGTTAGAAAGGGGTCTGCCATCACCCACATTGGGCTAATAGGCCTTGTTCCCAAAGGTTAACAAGAATGGGCATGATTAGATGTTGTGTAACTTCCTTTCTTCCTTCTGAATCACAAGAGGTTAGAGGGCATGTGCTCTGCTCAACTGTATGCACATCTCCAATGCCAACAGTTTGTTTCTAAGTGACCCAGGGCCCAGTTTCTGGCCAGTTTGGATCACTGATTGAAATCTCCGCCCATGTCCAGTAAGACAGTAAAATTGTTTTTGATTTTTAAGGTAATTATGGGTCTCTGATCAATGATTTATTCTAATATACTCCTGTGGCGCCTGTGCTTTTAAAACTTCCCGGCCGGGCGCGGTGGCTCAAGCCTGTAATCCCAGCACTTTGGGAGGCCGAGGCGGGTGGATCACGAGATCGAGACCAACCATGGTCAACATGGTGAAACCCCGTCTCTACTAAAAAAAAAATACAAAAAATTAGCTGGGCATGGTGGTGCGTGCCTATAATCCCAGCTACTCAGGAGGCTGAGGCAGGAGAATTGCCTGAACCCAGGAGGCGGAGGTTGCGGTGAGCCGAGATCGCGCCATTGCACTCCAGCCTGGGTAACAAGAGCGAAACTCCGTCTCAAAAAAAAAAAAAAAAAAAAAAAAAAAAAAAAACTTCCCTTTCCCTTTTGCTTTCCATGGGCATTGGAAACCTAGTATGGTAAAATCAGTAGCTGAGCTACCTTTGGTCCAGAGAGAATATGCAGACCTTTACATTCTATCATAACCAATCTCTCACCTTGGTAATCACTATCAATTCTCCAGTGAGCACATTAAATTCTTTACTGGATAGGCTGGACCACCATAGAACTACTCCCACTGTTCCCAGAGGCAACTGCCCCCACATCCCAGTTGCAACCCTTTTAGGGTCTTCTTTTAGCAGTTATTTGTTGGGGCAGAGTGAGTCCAGTCCTGCACTCCCCATGGTGACTGCTCTGAGAGAGAGGACTGTGGAGTTTCCATCTAACCAAGGAAAGCTGCTGGCATTGCCCCAGTTTGAAGTGGAGCCCAGGGATGGTCCCTCATGAAGGTTCCCTCCTGGTTACTTACGTGGTTTCCGTTTTTGTCAAATTTTGACCTGCATTGATTTGCCCACTGTTTCCCCTTTTTACTTTAGAGACGTATAGAAGGGGGTTCTTTCCCTGAGTTACCTTGGTCTCTACTATGGGGGAATTTCCTTTTCATATGATTTGGCTTTCCATAGAGAAAATCATTTTGATTTCTCTCTCTTTTCACTTTAGGAGGCCTAATGCCATAGCCAATATTTTGGGTTTGTGTGTCTCAGTTCCCACCAGCTGACATGCTCATGTAAGTTTCCCAACTGTAACTGCCTTTCCTCTGATTGTCTGCATTACTTGCTGGCAATCCATGTTTGCATTTCCAAAGTCAACTGCAACAATAAGATAGCTGCCTGGGTGTGACAAATTTATCTCTTAATTGCCTGGGTTAACCAATTGATAAACTCAACAAATGGCTCCTGAGGCCCTTGTTGAACATTTATAAAAGATCCCTGTTAAATTCTGCTTTTGGGAATCTGGTCCCAAGCCCTGAGAGCACACAAAGACACTTAAGCATAGGCCTGGGGATCAAAATCAAGTTGTACATTGGCATAGGGATCCCTCCCCTGGAGCATAGCAGCTGTTACATGTTGTTAAAGGCTTTGCCATGTTTTTCACACTCATAGGATTTCTATACAGTATTTTTTAAACGCTTTTTAAGAGTTGAGGACATGCTTACATTTGTAGAGTTTCTCTCTGCTACGAGTTATTTTGTTTAATAAGTTATGAGGACTGGTTGAGAGAATTTCCACATTCTTCACAGTTGTAGGAATAATTTTTCAAGGATAAAATTTCAAGGATAATTCTTCCTATATTTAGTAAGAGTTGAGGTTTGGTTAAAGGCTTTATCACATTCTTTAGATTTGTAAGACTTCTATCCAATATGAATTATCTTATGTTTACTAAGATTTGAGGATTGGTTAAAAGCTTTGCCACATTCTTCACATTTGTAGGGTTTCTCTCCAGTGTGAATTCTCCTATGTGAAGTAAGGTGTGAGGAATGGGTAAAAGCTTTGCCACATTCTTCACATTTGTAAGACTTCTCTCCAGTATGAATTATCTTATGTGTAGTAAGGTTTGAGGATTGGTTAAAAGCTTTGCCACATTCTTCACATTTGTAAGGTTTCTCTCCAGTATGAATTATCTTATGTTTAGTAAGGGTTGAAAACCAGTAAAAGCCTTTGCCACATTCTTCACATTTGTAGGGTTTCTTTCCAGTATGAATCATCTTATGTGTAGCAAGGTTTGAAGACACATTAAAGGTTTTGCCACATTCTTCACATTTGTAGGGTTTCTCTCCAGTATGAATCTTCTTATGTTTAGTAAGGGTTGAAAACCAGTAAAAGCCTTTGCCACATTCTTCACATTTGTAAAATTTCTCTCCAGTATGAATTATCTTATGTTTAGTAAGGAATGAGAATCGACAAAAAGTTTTGTCACATTCTTCACATTTGAAGGGTTTTTCTCCGGCATGAATGAACTTATGTGTAGTAAGAGATGAAGAATGGTTAAAAGCTTTTCCACATTCTTCACATTTGTAGGGTTTCTCTCCAGTATGAATTATCTTATGTGCAGTAAGGTGTGAGGATGTGTTGAAGGCTTTGCCACATTCTTCACATCTGTAGGGTTTCTCTCCAGTATGAATCATCTTATGTGTAGTAAGGGTTGAGGAGTGTTTAAAAGCTTTGCCACATTCTTCGCATTTGAAAGGTTTCTCTCCAGTATGGATTCTCTTGTGTGTAGAAAGGGCTGAGAGCCGCATAAAGACTTTGCCACATTCTTCACATTTGAAAGGTTTCTCTCCAGCATGGATTCTCGTGTGTCTAGAAAGGTGTGAGGCCCGCTTAAAGACTTTGCCACATTCTTCACATTGGTAAGAATTCTCTCTAATATGAATTCTTTTATTTTGACATAGGTATAAATGCATGCAAAATGATTTGTCACATTTTTTACATTTGAAAGTTTTCTTTCCAGTACGTCTTGTCTTATGTCCATTTGAATTCAAACATTTAAGAAAGACTTTCATATATTTATCACATCGAACTATTTCACTCTGGGTAGTTGTCAAACACTGGTTTAGTTCATTATAACCTTCTTTGTGCACCTTACACTTATCTACACTTGCTGAGCCTTTTTTTAACTGTAAATTCTCATGTCCACATTTTCCATATCTTCTCAGTATTACTTCTTGAAAAGAATCTTTTATGTCTTGCTCTGGCCAAAGGTCTTTCACAAAATAGGAACACATAGCTAAAATACATAAATTTAAAAAATAAAAACAAATTATTCAACTTACTAGACTTAAACAACGTTACAAATCTAACCTATATTATACAAATTAAATAAGCAAGATGCCATAATAAAATACCACAGCCCCTAAATCCTTCATAGACATATAAATGTAATAAAAATATACTGACCAAAATACATTTGAGAAAAACTTATAACTGTGTAAAGTTCCCCAGGTGGGTACAATGCAAAGACACAGAAGAAAATGAAAAGTCTGTTATATTTACCCAACACAGTTCTTCCTGGTCACCAATATAACGTCGTGCCTTTCAAAGTAAATTCCTAACTTTTGGTTTCTTTTTTAATGAAAAAGTAAAATACTGACACATACATCTGTATTACTTGCTTCTAGGGGCTGTTCCAGAAACTCATCTCCCATCACATAAAGTGCTGAAAGAAATGATGCTGTATTTTGGAATGACAGTTTGAATCTACTGAGACCAAAGGTAAATGTTACAACAGTAGAGAGACTGCAACACAACAGACAGAAAACAGATATCGCAAATGATTACTGATGAACCAGAAATCAACTCTTTTAACTAAAAAATACACACAAAATTTTAGAACAGATACATTCAAAGAACATGTTTGAGAGTCTCCCAGGATCTCTGTCCAAGATAACTGTTTTCAGACTATACCAGGACAAAACTACATTATAAAGGTTGTGACAGGTAGCTTTTTCTGATGTCAAAATCTTTTTTTTTTTTTTTTTTTTAGACGGAGTTTCGCTCTTGTTACCCAGGCTGGAGTGCAATAGCACGATCTCGGCTCACCGCAACCTCCGCCTCCCGGGTTCAGGCAATTCTCCTGCCTCAGCCTCCTGAGTAGCTGGGATTACAGGCACACGGCCACCATGCCCAGCTAATTTTTTGTATTTTTAGTAGAGACAGGGTTTCACCATGTTGACCAGGATGGTCTCGATCTCTTGACCTCGTGATCCACCCGCCTCGGCCTCCCAAAGTGCTGGGATTACAGGCGTGAGCCACCGCACCTGGCCTGATGTCTAAATCTTAATCATAGATTACAATGAATACAAACTAGGGCAAAATTGTTCCATCAAAAATATTATAAAACTTTCAGAAAGAAACCATAAAAAACATATATATATTAATTTTTTTTTTTTTTTTTTTTTTTTTGAGACGGAGTTTCGCTCTTGTTAACCCAGGCTGGAGTGCAATGGCACGATCTCGGCTCACCACAACCTCCGCCTCCTGGGTTCAGGCAATTCTCCTGCCTCAGCCTCCTGAGTAGCTGGGATTACAGGCACATGCCACCATGCCCAGCTAATTTTTTTGTATTTTTAGTAGAGACGGGGTTTCACCATGTTGACCAGGATGGTCTCGATCTCTCGACCTCGTGATCCACCCGCCTCGGCCTCCCAAAGTGCTGGGATTACAGGCTTGAGCCACCGCGCCCGGCCTATGTATATTAATTTTAACAATTGAAAATATATTGAATACTCAATGAGTAAAATAGGAACACAATACTATAAAAAACAGGGCACGGGTCAGAGTTCAGCAAAATTTAATGAATTTCTTTTTTTTTTTTTTTTTTTTTTTTTGAGACGGAGTTTCGCTCTTGTTGCCCAGGCTGGAGTGCAATGGCGCGATCTCGCCTCCCCGCAACCTCCGCCTCCCGGGTTCAGGCAATTCTCCTGCCTCAGCCTCCTGAATAGCTGGGATTACAGGCACACGCCACCATGCCCAGCTAATTTTTTGTATTTTTAGTAGAGACGGGGTTTCACCATGTTGACCAGGATGGTCTTGATCTCTTGACCTCGTGATCCACCCGCCTCGGCCTCTCAAAGTGCTGGGATTACAGGCTTGAGCCACCGTGCCCAGCCAAATTTTAAAAATTTTAAATAAAAAAATACAAAATGAGGATAAGAACAAAATATTTAACATATCCAAAAAGAAACTGTAAAGGTAAAAATGTGTGTGTATATATATATGTGTGTGTATATATATATGTATATATATATAAAATTCTGAAAGAAAAAATAATGTCAAAATGAAGCAGCTCAACAAACTAGGAGCACACACAAAGATATTGATAACAAACACATATATAAACACAATTTCAAAAGTCACAAGAAGATAATGGGAGATGCAAGATAAAAATAATGTGTCATTGGCAGGGCGCAGTGGCTCACGCCTGTAATTCCAGCACTTTGGGAGGCCGAGGCAGGTGGATCACAAGGTCAACAGATCGAGACCATCCTGGTCAACATGGTGAAACCCCGTCTCTACTAAAAATACAAAAAATTAGCTGGGCATAGTGGCACGTGCCTGTAATCCCAGCTACTCAGGAGGCTGAGGCAGGAGAATTGCCTGAACCCAGGAGGCGGAGGTTGCGGTGAGCTGAGATCGCGCCATTGCACTCCAGCCTGGGTAACAAGAGCGAAACTCCGTCTCAAAAATAATAATAATAATAATAATGTGTCATTTACAAGCACAGTCTTAGGAGATAGCTTGTGAACTGTCAACAAAACTTTGCAGGCCAGAAGGAAATTGTGTGATATAATCAAAGTCCTAAAAACAAAACAAAACAGCTATCAAATGAGAATACTACTACCAGCATATCTGTCCTGCCAAACAAAAAAAACCTTCAGGGCCGGGCGCGGTGGCTCAAGCCTGTAATCCCAGCACTTTGGGAGGCCGAGGCGGGTGGATCACGAGGTCAAGAGATCGAGACCATCCTGGTCAACATGGTGAAACCCCGTCTCTACTAAAAATACAAAAAATTAGCTGGGCATGGTGGCTCGTGCCTGTAATCCCAGCTACTCAGGAGGCTGAGGCAGGAGAATTGCCTGAACCCAGGAGGCAGAGGTTGCGGTGAGCCAAGATCGTGCCATTGCACTCCAGCCTGGGTAACAAGAGTGAAACTCCGTCTCAAAAAAAAAAAAAAAACCTTCAAAAATAACCAAGTTCTGCCATTACTGCAGGAAAAGGTCCCGCAGAGCTGAGCAGTCAAGATGTGTGACTTCACCGAAGACCAGACCGCAGAGATGAATGTGAAGGTGCTGGACTTTGAGCACTTTCTGCCCATGCTGCAGACAGTGGCCAAGAACAACGACCAGTGCACCTATGAGGATTATGTCGAAGGACTTCGGGTTTTTGACAAAGAAGGAAATGGCACCGTCATGGGTGCTGAAATCCGGCATGTTCTTGTCACACTGGGTGAGAAGATGACAGAGGAAGAAGTAGAGATGCTGGTGGCCGGGCACGAGGACAGCAATGGTTGTATCAACTACGAAGAACTCGTCCGCATGGTGCTGAATGGCTGAGGACCTTCCCAGTCTCCCCAGAGTCCGTGCCTTTCCCTGTGTGAATTTTGTATCTAGCCTGAAGGCTCCCTAGGCTCTCTTGTGTCAGCACCTTTCCCATCTCATCTCTCTCGGATGATGTTTGCTGTCAGCATTCACCAAATAAAACTTGCTCTCTGGCCCTCAAAAAAAAAAAGAAAGAAAAAAAGAAAAAAAATAATAACCAAGTTCTGAAAAAGTCTAATGGCACTTCATATGTTCTAAATATAAAAGGTGCTTAGGCCGGGCGTGGTGGCTCAAGCCTGTAATCCCAGCACTTTGGGAGGCCGAGGCGGGTGGATCACGAGGTCGAGAGATCGAGACCATCCTGGTCAACATGGTGAAACCCCGTCTCTACTAAAAATACAAAAAATTAGCTGGGCATGGTGGTGCGTGCCTATAATCCCAGCTACTTAGGAGGCTGAGGCAGGAGAATTGCCTGAACCCAGGAGGCGGAGGTTGCGGTGAGCCGAGATCGCGCCATTGCACTCCAGCCTGGGTAACAAAAGCGAAACTCTGTCTCAAAAAAAAAAAAAAAAAAAAAAAAAAAAAGGTGCTTAAAGCAGTTGCTTCTACTGAAAATAACGATTCAACAAAGTAACATGTAATTATATAAAATACATTATTTGCTGGGAAAGAAATGCACATACACAAAAATAAAACTTCTTAGCATTGTAATAATGATGCAAAAACATTTCTAAAATTTGAAAGGTATCCGCTTGAACCCAGGAGTCAGAAGTTGCAGTGAGTTGAGATCATGCCATTGCACTCCAGCCTAGGTAACAGAGTGGGATTCTAGCTCAAAAAGAAAAAAAAAAAATCCTCTAAAATTTGAAAAGTAAAAGCATAGAAATCATTATAAGTATTTGTTAGTGAATATATAACATATATAATTAGCAACATCAATGACAAATTTGAGGGCAGATAAGGAGAAAAAATTTTTGAATGCAACTGAAGGTCATTTTTTACCAGATTAAAATACACTGTTGTATCTTTTAGAAGTTTTATGTAATCCCCAAGGTATCATCACAAATATATATCTATGCAGATAAAGAAATAAAAGCATGTCAAGATAAGCATAAAAAAGACATAAACACAGAAAAATAGAAAATGAGTAACAAAGATACAAGAAACAAAAAATTTCTAAGTCTTCATAAGTGAAGAAAAATAAACTTTTTAGACAAGCAAATGCTGAAAGAATACATTACCACCAGGCATGCCTTGCTAGGGCTCCTGAAAGAAGCACTAAATATGGGAAGAAAAAAGCATAACCAACCAGTGCTGGTACCAAAACACACTGAAGTACAAAGATCAGTGATGGTATAAAACCACCACATCAACAATTATGTAAAATAAGCAGCTAGCATCACTTGGACAGATTCAAAATCACACATAACAATATTAGCCTTAATTATAATAGGCTAAATGCCTCAATTGAAAGACACAGAAGGGCACACTGCATAAAGAGTCATGACCCATTTGTGTGCTGTATTCCAGAGACCCATTTCACATGAAAAGAAAAATGTAGGCTTAAAGTAAAAACATGCAGGAAAATTTACAAAGGAAATAGAAGCAGAAAAAAGCAAGGGTTGCAATCATAGTTTCTGACAAAACAAACTTTACACCAACAAAGATTAAAAAAAGACAAGCGCATTACATAAGGTAAAGATCCATTTAAGGAGCACCCAGATTCATAAAACACATTCTTAGCGACCTACAAAAAGACTTAGGGTTCCACATAATAATAGTGAGCGACTTTAACACCTCATTGTTAATATTAAAGAGATCAATGAGACAGAAAAGTAACAATATTCAGAACTTGAACTCAGCTGTGGGTCAAGTGGAACTGACATATCTACAGAACTCTCCAGCCACAAACAACACAATACACATTCTTCTAAGTTCCACATGGCACTAACTCTAAAATTGATGACATAATTGGAAGTAAAACACTTTTCACAAATGCAAAAGAATTGAAATCATAACAAATAAGTCTCTCAGACTGCAGTGAAATCAAATTAAAACTCAAGAGTAGGAAACTCACCATGCACGATGGCTCATACCTGTAATCCCAGCACTTTAAAGAGGCCGAAGGGTGTGGATCAGGTGAGATCAGGAGGTTGGGATCAGCCTGGCCAACATGGTGAAGCCCCATGTCTGCCAAAAATATAAAAAATTAGCTGAGCAGGATGGCACATGCCTGTAGTCCTACCTACTCAGAAGACTGAGGCACAAGAATCACTTGAAGCCAGGAGGCAGAAGTAGCAGTGGGCCAAGATCATGCTGCTGTGCTCCAGCCTGGGTGGCAGAGTAACACCCCCATCTCGAAACAAACAAACAAACAAAAAAACCCAAAAAACCAACTTAAGAGTAAGAAACTCACTCAAAACCACACAACTGTATGGAAACTGAGCAACCTACCCCTGAATGACTTCTAGCCAAATACGATTATATCAGAGGCCAGTATCTGCGGCCACACCCTTCTGACCATGCCTGATCTCAGAAGCTAAGTAGGGGCGAGCCTTGCTGAAACTAGGATAAGAGAGCACCTGGGAATACAAGGTGCTGTAGACTTTGGCTGGACACAGTGGCTCACACCTGTAATCCCAACACTTTGGGAGGCCGAAGCAGGCAGATGACCTAAGGTCAGGAGTCAAGACAAGCCTGGCCAATATGGCAAAACACCATCTCTACTAAAAATACAAAATATGAGCCAGGTGTGGTGGTGGGTGCCTGTGACCCCAGCTACTTGGGAGGCTGAGGCTGGAGAATCACTTGAATCTGGGAGGCAGAGGTTGCAGTGAGCTGAGATTACACCACTGCACTCCAGCCTCGGTGACAAGAGAACTCCATCTCAAAGGAAAAACAAGCAGAAATCAAGAAATTCTTTGCAACAAATGAGAATGAAGAGACAGTGTACCAGAATCTCTGGAACACAGCTAAAGCAGTGTTAAGGAGAAAATTTATAGCACTAAAAACCCACATCAAAAAGCTAGAAAGGGCCAGGCATAGTGGCTCATACTAGTAATCCCAGCACTTTTGGAGGCTGAGGCAGGTGGGTCACCTGAGATCAGGAGTTCAAGACCAGCCTGGTCAATATGGGAAAACCAATCTCTACTAAAAAAAAAAAAAAAAAAATACAAAAATTAGCTTGGTACGGTGGTGGGCACCTGTAATCAATTCCAGCTACTTGGGTGGCTGAGGCAGGAGAATCACTTGAACATGGGATGCAGAGGTTGCAGTGAGCCAAGATGAAGCCACTGTACTCCAGCCTGGGTGACAGAGCAAGACTCTGTCTCAAAAAAATAAAAGTGTAAAACTAGAAATATCTCAAATGGAAACCATAACATCATAACTAAAAGTATGAGAAAACCAAGAGCAAACAAACCTTAAAGCTAGCAGAAGACAAGAAATAACCAGATTCAGAGCAGAAGTGAAGGACACAGAGAGAAAAAAATCCCTTAAAAAAAAGAAAAATCAGCCGGGCGCGGTGGCTCAAGCCTGTAATCCCAGCACTTTGGGAGGCCGAGGCGGGTGGATCACAAGGTCGAGAGATCGAGACCAACCTGGTCGACATGGTGAAACCCCGTCTCTACTAAAAATATAAAATATTAGCTGGGCATGGTGGCACGTGCCTGTAATCCCAGCTACTCAGGAGGCTGAGGCAGGAGAATTGCCTGAACCCGGGAGGCGGAGGTTGCGGTGAGCCGAGATCGTGCCATTGCACTCCAGCCTGGGTAACAAGAGCGAAACTCCGTCTCAAAAAAAAAAAAAAGAAAGAAAAATCAGCCGGGCGCAGTGGCTCAAGCCTGTAATCCCAGCACTTTGGGAGGCTGAGGCGGGCGGATCGTGAGGTCAAGAGATCGAGACCATCATGGTCAACATGGTGAAACCCCGTCTCTACTAAAAATACAAAACATTAGCTAGGCATGGTGACGCATGCCTGTAATCCCAGCTACTCAGGAGGCTGAGGCAGGAGGATTGCCTGAACCCAGGAGGCGGAGGTTACGGTGAGCCGGGATGGCGCCATTGCACTCCAGTCTGGGTAACAACAGCGAAACTCCGTCTCAAAAAAAAAAAAAAAAAAAAATCAATGAATCCAGGAGCTGTTGTTTTTTTACAAAATTAATAAAATAGACTGCCAGCTAGACTAATAAAAAAATGAAGAGTGCAATAGACAATAAAAATTTATAAAGGGGATATCACCACTGACACCATAGAAATAAAAACAGCCTTCAGAAAATATTGTAAACACCTCTGTGCACACAACTGGAAAATCTAGAGGAAATGGAACATTCCTGGACATATCCATCCTTTGAAGACTGAACCAGGAAGAAGTTGAATCCCTGAATAGATCAATAACTAGTTCTGAAATTGAGGCACTAACAAATAGCTTACCAACAACAAAAAAAGTTCAGGATCTGATAAATTTACAGCTGAATTCTACCGGAGGTACAAAAAAGATCTGGTACCATTTCTTCTGAAACTATTCTAAATGATACAAAAGGAGGGGCTTCTTTTTAACTCATTCTGGGAGGCCAGCATCATCCTGATATCAGGACCTGGCAGAGATAAAATGAAAAACAAAAACAAAAACAAACAAACAAAAAACTTCAAGCCAATATCCCTGATGAACATCAATGCAAAAATTCTTGGTAAAATACTGGCAAACTGAATCCAGCAGCACATCAAAAAGCTTATCCACACAATCAAGTCAACTTTATTCCTGGGATGCAAGGCTGGTTCAACATATAAAATTTGATAAATATAATTAATCACATAAACAGATCTAAAGACAAAAACCACATGATTATCTCAATAGATGCAGAAAAGGCCTTTGATCAAATTCAACATCACTTCATGTTAAAAACTCTCAATAAAGTAGGTATTCGTGGAACATACCTCAAAATAATAATAACTATCTATGACAAACCCACAGCTAATATCATACTAAAAGAACAAAAGCTGGAAGCATTCCCTTTGAAAACTGGCATGAGATAAGGATGCCCTCTCACCACTCCTGTTTAACAAAGTACTGGAAGTTCTGGCAGGGAAATCAGGCACAAGAAATAAACAAGCAGTATTTAAATAGGAATTCAAAGTGTCTCTTTTTGCAGAGGACATGATCCTAGATCTAGCCCCAC